TAAAAGCTGGCGCTGAATTCCTTAAGAGTGGCCCCAAAACCAGGCATGGATTTCACTTGAAGATCGAGATTTGTTTTTTCCTCGTGAAAGGGCCTTTCTCACCAGATAAACATCATGGGTTCACTACTCATACAAGTAAGAAAACACAGATTATGTAGAATTCTCATGGTTTTCCATGACTTCACAAGTTTTTGAAATACTAAAATTAAGGTGGATGGTTGGTGGAAGAGGTGGGACTCGTGCTGTGCTAAGGATACAGAAATCAGAGTTTCTGCCTCTTGTTATTGAAGATCCAGCACATATAACCCAGGAAAGCTTTCAATCTTCTGCTAACTGGGGACCATAGCTCACCCTCAGCCAAGCCTGACTAGTCCTGCAGCTTCACAAGACACCACAAAGATAAATTTGCACAAATGTCTGGGAAAAATGACCAAACTAGGACACAATACAGGGAGGTATTGTGCAAATGTGACTTTGCAGTTCATCCCACTCCAGTGACATTTTCCTGTTAGCTGCCAGCTGGTGAGAAGTGGCAGGGCGTTAGGTCCTTGGCCACATTCTGCTTTTCTGAAATGGCTGTCACTCTTCCTTCAAGACATTTTTTGTGTCAGCAAGGGAAGGAGCTTACAAAGATTCTGTACAATTCACTTTCTGACCTTTTTAAACTGTAAATATGATTTAAAAAATCTTACTAGTTACTTTTTTTTCCTTTTCTTTTCCTCCATGGCTTAAAGTGTTAATTCTGTCCATTGAAATGTAATTTTATTGAGCTATATGAGCCGGAGGCGGAATCTTCACTGCCATCAGAACCCAAGTGGTAAATAGGCTCTTTCTCTAATTTGTGGGATGTGCCATAACTCAGTTTGAATGTTGAAAGGAAATGGGCCTCCAGGGGAGTCTGGAGCTCTGTTCATTCAACTTCTAATTAAAGTTTTCCCCTCTCAAATTTCACTTTATTTTCCGGGGCTTTTGCTCCATGATGATTATTAACATGTGTCCAATGGCCAGGAAATCATTATCCCCTTCCCCAACCCAGTCTTTCGTCGATGCCTCCTGCTGCAGACCAAGCTGCCTGAAACTCTCTGAGGGGATCTGGTGGCCGGGGCAGGTAGAAAGGAGCCCCCCCCTGAGGCTGCCCGGGCTTCCACGCAGCGGGCTGTTGGCTTTTTCCAGTACCGCCAGCTCAGCTGCTGCTGTCCGGCCGAGAGGATCCAGTCCAGGATTTCTTCCAGCCTATTCTTCACGTTTCAAGAGCCCAGGCCAACTCTGGCTTCCTATTCCGACTCCAGCAGGCTTATCTGTTTTGGGGCAGGAATTGTTAGTACAGTTTATCTTGCTTGCTGCAAGTCCTCCCTCAGCTGAGACATGTCCTCTGGTGCCGCGATCTTTTTTTTCCCTCTCTCTCTCTTTTTTATGTTTTCTTCTTGTTTTTCTTTTTAAATGTGTCAAGTGAAGAGTTCCTCTTCCCCCCCCTCCCTTTCCACTCCAAAGAACCGACCTCCAGTTAATTAAACGCTGGAACTGTTGCTACTTTGCCAGAGGGGAGAGTGAACCTGTGCCTGCATGTGTGTATGTGTAAAATAGATACAAAAATGTCAATGAACAGCAGGAAAAGTTCTGGGAGACCGTCTTACTACTATGGACTGCTCCGGAGGTCACGACTTCAGAGGCAGCGCAGCAGATCCCGGAGCCGGAACAGGCCGCTCAGTAGGGGTAATTGCACCAACCGCTCTCTTTAACTGACCCTGCAAAGACAAACGTGCTGTCGCTTACAGGTGGCTTCGTTACTGTAGCTATGACCAGTGCCAGTATTTGTAAGTGTCCCTGCTCCCCGTGAGGCGTTTGCGGAGCTGTGCAGAAGGTCAGTTGTTCGGGTAGTGCCGCAGTCCTGGACGGGGAGGGAGAACGGGTGGGTTTTGAAGGCTCAGCTGGGGGAGTCAGGCTTGGGTGCTGTTCCGTGCAGTGGTTCGAACACCTTGTCTAACTTTAACTAACCTGGTCGTTTCAATTACCCATGGTTCAGTTTTTTCAATTTGTATAATTAAGTAACTCCTTTTTAGCTGAGACTTTTGGAGGCCTAATGGAGAGATATTGGAAAATTCTTGATTAAGAGATGGTATCTATATGAGAGATGTATTTCTAAAACGTTTTGTTCTACATGAGCTGAGTGAGTATCACCTGGGGTTTTGAAATTACAAAGCTGAGTACAATTTAGGGGTAGGATTTTCAAAAGACCCTAAAGATTGTGCTCCTGAGGCATTGTAGAAAACCTGTGGGACTTGAATTCCCAAATCACTTTTCGCTTTTAAAAATCCTGCTCTAAAAGGGCCTATTTGTCCTCATCAGCAGGAGTTAGGTCCACAGAGTAATGTTTCTTTAGGGCATACTCACTCATGCAGCCCATTTATTCTACTTGAGGCAGCTAGTGACCCAGTTGCATTGTTAAAATAAGCTATTCTGGCTTTCTCTTCTACTGTGAAACACATGTTTATTGATGCTTATGCCTGTTGTTAAAGCAGTCAAAGAAGCAGGAGTCTTTGAGTCATTTTACTGGTGAACTATCTTTTCAGAAAGGAGGGGTGAGAGTTGCTCTGAGGTGACAATCCAGTCATATTTGTAATGTCTTGAGCTTAATCAAAGTCATTAACTAAAAAAAATGTGGTGGTGTTGTATGATTTAAAAGCACAAATGCAACACAGCAGTCAGGTGTTTGTGCAAATCCAGACCTGTACTTGTTTCACTGGAGTTATTTCTGATTTATGAAGCAGATTGTGAAGTAGACTCCAGCACTACAAGATTTAGCTTGGTGCAATGTCCTCTTCCTTCTTTTCCTGGCATACAGGAGTTTTTTTCAGGATTTTGAATCATCACTGAGAAAACAATGGGAATCTAAATGAGTCCCTGAGCTTGATCTTTTCATTTAAGCAAACGGTGTTTTTCTTTCCATGATTGTTTTGTTTTGTTTTCTCTGTCAAGGATGAGTGTTTGTAAACTCACAAGCATGTAACAGTTCCCTTTCTCCCTTTATTTGTGTACTACTCAAACCCAAAATATTTTACTGTCGTTTCAGTGGCTGTGACAAAAGAATGTGTTAGTTTCATTTAGGTAACCTAATGTGAACTTAACAGCACAATTTGTCAGGAACACAAGGAAAATACAGACAGATTTGATGGAAATGGAAATCAACCCTAATGTTTATAAGAAACTGGATTTGATCCAACTCAAATCTTCTTGCTGTTGATCTCTCCCTGAGTATTTTGTGTTTGTCTCTGGCATTTCTGCCTGCTTAGAGGGTCCTAATACACAGCACTAGTTGAGCTCTTCTTATTTGTAGATCTTAAAGGGATTTGCAAATCAGGATGAGGACGTTCTTTTAATTTTCAACGTGAAAGCGAGCTGTGCTCTCTCTAGCTCAGATAGCCACAGATCAGATGTCCTTAGTGGGAAGTTACCATAAATTCATGACTATTGGAGTTCCTGCACGGGCATTGGCAGCAGTCTGGTTTGCCACATGTGTTTCCCGGACATCCTTCTGGCAAGTTTTTGCTCTCTCCAGTCCCTGGAGCCCTTGCCAAGATCCCCCCTGGGCCCAGCTAAGCCTGTGGCCATAGCTGGGGGAGCTTTCCAGGCGTGTGTCTTCAGCAGGTTATCAGCATGTTTTTGGACAGGGAACTTGCTGAGGCTCGGGCAGTTGTTACACATTGACCAGGGAGGAGATATGCGCTGGCACACAGCCCCCTCTCCCCATCTGGAAGCATTCACCGGTGTTACTGCATCAACCCGGATGATAAATCCCCGGTGCCGGCGCTGCCAGGAGCAGCGGGGGCTGCAGCTGCTGCCATCTGCTGCCCCACGGCCCCTGCCCCGAGCCAAGGAACCGCTGTCAGCCCACCCGTTTGTATCAGTCAGTCGCTTTGAGTAAAGAGGAGGTTGTGTTTAAAAGGAGATATTTATGTACTGCCACTTCCTATTCGACCCCCCCCAGGGGACAGTGCCACCCCCCCCGCGTGCCCTGCCGAGCGGTGCTGCCTGTGCCGGGGGCAGTGCAGCCTGCCCGGGGTCACAGCCCGCACAGCTGCACCGCAGTCACAAGCGGTGGCTGTGACAGCCCAGAGCTCGTCTGGGAAATTGGTCTGGCTTCCCGAGGTACCAAGAAAGAGAGAACTCCTCCCTCAGGAGAGCTCTGCTGGCAGCGCTCCTTAGGTAGACGGAGTGAACCCAACAGGCATTTTCTGTGCAAGTGGCTGAGGAAAGCAGGGACTGCTTTTGTTGGGACTCCAGATGGAGGCAATCTGATGTACCATGCAAAAAAAGTATAGGACTTTCAGCTGTTCACAATTTCAGCCAGCTTCTTTGATGGTTCACGTGATGGTTTCTTCTGTTCTAGACTTCTTTGGCTGGTGCTTAATAAACATAAAGTCCATGTTTCAGTATGTTTACCAGTCTGTCCTTTTGAGAGGTCCAGGGCTAGAACAGTTGAAGAACAGTAAAACTGATGGGGAGGGCAAATGAAACCAGAACAGGCAGGTGTCCTGTCAGGAGGCTCGTGTGATCCTGCCTCTGGTGCATTTAAATTATTGCTATTTCATAGTGGATAAACAAGACAGGTTTCACCTCCCTGTTAATCTTTGTTAGAATTATTATGGTGTCTGAAATCTCCTGACTCTGCTTTCCAAAGAGATTTGGGACACACTGCAGGTATATATTATTTAAAAAGCTAACTGCAGAAACCCCATCTCTTCCTTGAACCATGTGTTCAGCTCTGAGATAAGTGTGATTATATGAGGAATCATGGCAGTAATTATGATTACTACCAGGTGATCCATCTAATGTGGTGGAAGGTACTTGGGAGACAGAGAGGGTAGAAGGAGAATTATTGATAAAAGCAACAGCTGCTTCTGCCTGAAGTCCTTTGGTCTGCAGCTTTCTTCATGATATCTCTGCTTCTGTGACAGAAGGAACGGGGTCAGTGGCAAGTGTTCTGAAAATTCAGTTTGCTCAGTTGTCATCAAAGCTCTGAGAATTAGAGAACATTTTGAGTTCCTGATCTTGAAGCTTCAGTGTTCCTGATACATCTGTTTCTGTCAGCTCCTTGGACAGAAATGTCTTGCTCCGAGTTCTGTTTATCACAAATGCTTTTCAAGTTGTTCTATAAAAAGGGTTTTTATTAAACAGGCTTTCTTCTGCTTTCCCTTTGATGGCTGCTGTGAAGAGAGAAGTGACTGATCTTCAGCACAGCTCAGTATTTTAGTACACCAGACACTGAGGCTAAGGTCAGACTGATTTTTTCTTAGGGCGGGCTATTCAGATACACATCTCTTGAAAACAGCTGGAATTCAGTCTTTTTCTCTCTGTGTTTGATGAAATCAAAACCTTTTAAGTGATAAATGAGGTATCAATTCATACCCAAATAGCCAATACCTTAGAGATTAAGACACTTGCTGGGGACAAGGAAAGCAGAGACTTGCAGACTGTCCCAGCATGTAATGGGATGACAGAGCAAAGGAAGTTTTATTATATTTAAAGCCAATACAAGCATGCTTGTCTTGCATGGATTTATATTGGCAGGCAGAAAGCTGAGTAAAACGTTCCAGTTTTACTGTTGTTCTCTGACTCATATCCTACAAAATTTGACAAGATGAGTGATTTTGCCCTTTCAGCACATCTTCTGGTAGCGTTTGTTGGTGCTGAATGAGGTATGGTCACTAGGAAGTCAAGTCTGGGAAGGAAGATGAGCAGAAGACACAACTGGTCAGTCTGGCTGGTCAGTCTGGTCTCTGAGGTGACCCCAAGTCCCTGCACTTGGGACTCCCCTGTGGGCTGCCCTGCCCTTCCCCCTGCCCGTCACAGGCACCTGTGTCTGCACTGGGGTCAGTTCAAGCTTCGAATCACTCTTCCCATTCTTAATTCATAATTTACTTGGTTTTAAGTTACTCACTTTAGTAGCCAATCAATAGTTCCATTCTGTTGTATTACATGTATTACCTTATGCTGGATGGTCAGGAGGGTACATGGGTGCACTTCACCTGCCTCCTCTATGGGAGATTTCTCAGACTCCAAATCCTGGGCCTTAAATTTCTTACTTTTTTTTTTTTTTTTTTTTTTCAAAAAAATACTGCCTGAACATTTTCTTTAATTTAAGGGTTGGGAGCAGGCAAGTGAAGAGTCCTGTGATAAACATTAGTGATAAGGTTTTTTCCAAGGGTGGTGTCTTTTAAATGTCAGGAAAAGGAGACCTTCCTGCTTCACAGTTTCTAATGACCACTGCTTTGTTTTTCAAGCCTCTTTTGTGGCATTTTCTATTTTATCGCAGAGCTCTTGCAGCTTTCATTGAAATTTTACCAGTGTGGCTGACAGATGGTCATAGAAAAGATATGCAAAATTTTTTGAGCTGTGCTGTTTGTAGGAAATATTCACCGGCAGCCGTGCTATTTTTAGCAGTTGTGCTCCAGCTGAGACGTTGCCGTATGTGCTCAATGCTTAATTGTCTAATAAAAATCTATACTAAATTTAATAACTTGGGAAGTACTGCATGCTGGAGGAATTCTTGATTTGTTTTGATGTTAAAACAATGGATGGAGAAATATAAACAACAAAAATGTAGAGGGAATTTATTTTCTAGGGAGGTCCGATGGACCCTCTGGTAGGAGCCCGGTGGCAGTAGCGCCTTGAGCACCTTCCTCTGCTCTTCCAGTGTTTGTGATGCCACACTG